TGTATGCACAGCGAAGACGAGCTCGGGCATAAAATCTGATCGGCGCACTGAGGCTGATCGCAATCCTTGCGACTAAGCTCCAGGGTACTCGAATACACCCGAATACAACGTGCTGTCGACGTGAAGTTTCAGCATGAAATTAATCGGCGATCACGTTACACACAGCCAGAAGTCTCTACGCACGGGTTTGCAAGGGCTGCATTGCGAGACTGGGCACCAACAACTTTCGTTGCTCCTGGTGGCAGCTCGACCGTACTTCCGCTCGGCTCCATAGACATTGATCAGCACGCAGCACCTTGTGGCTCTTTGCGGGGATGACCAGAAGTATTGCCGAGATAAGTAAGAGGGATTCCGTCGGATCCGATCGTCATGGGTCTATTACACAGTAAAGGTACACGGTCGATGCGCATTGATGCGGCATCGAATTCCCCGGCCGAGGCCATATCCCCGACAGTTCATACAGCCAGCTTCGGCCAAGTCGAATCACCGGACGAACTCCTTCAAATCCTTTGCGTCTTCAAAGCTGACCTTACCATCCTTCGCGACACTCGCGATATGAATGGCTGACGGGGCTTGTTCTGTGGAGGCCGGCTCCACGGCCTTTGGCTGGGAAGAAAGCTCAATAGCCTTGGGAACTACACCGGCTTGTGCATCTGAGATCTCGTTGACTTCTTGGTTTGTCAGGACATCGGCAACGCGCACGCCACGGCTCGACATCAGCAATGTCGTAGGTCCACGGAACTGAAGGAATAGTCTGTCGCCCCAGATGGTCCTCCGCATCGATGTCCTCAGGCTGAAGAGGAAGCGGCCAATTGCCTTGTAGGTGTCTGTGTCTCGCATGGCCTTGAAGAACTTGGTTTCGGGGAACAGGCCGGTGACGCTCGGGATCTGGAGTCGGAACGACGAAGACTTCAGGCGGAATGGCAGAGGCGGATTGCGCGAGACCGAGTAAGCGACGACGTGCGATGGGTGAGCGACAAACTCCTCGCCGTCGCCAAGTGTCAGTTGATAAATTTGGCCTGGTGACGACAGCGCTGCCAACCCACGGCCAGTTAGATGCGTTGAGCCCCAGTGCGCCAGCGACAAGCCTCTGCTGATACGCGGGCTGAGTGAGAGGGTGTGGCCGGTCCATGCCAATAGCGCATTCCGCTGCGCAACCATGTAGTCCGTGGTACCGTCAAGGTGGAGGATGGAAAAAGTAGTAGTCGGGGATTTCGTCGAGATCATGGCCGTCAGCGGGGTTGATGACGATATCCTCTGGTACAGGAAGGGGATGCCTAGGAAGGCTCGGGAGAAGGGTGAGAGAATGGAAAGCGTTGATTGCGCCTGGTCACATGGTCAGCATGATTTTGTTTCTTTGATCGCAGTCAAACCGCCATGTGGACATACGTTATCTGCCTGGCCAGCTACACCAACCAGCGTGCCTCGCCGAGTGTAAAGCTTCTGCGAAGGAGAGAGGGTGACGGAGAGCATCGAGTATGGTGAGCCGAGGACTTCGAAACGAGCATCTGTACGAAACAGTCAGCAAAAAGCCACGCCGTGCAAAAATGAATTGAGAGGCTCGTACCGGCAACATCGTGGACAGAGGTATTCGCAGGAGCCCCAAAAGCATCTCCTCCAATGCGAGGGGTCTCAGTAGTGGGCGCGGCGCTGATCTGGATGGTTCTGCATTGGCGGCAGGATGATGGCCGTGTCTTGACGGTCCTCAGGCCTCTAGCCGTTCGGATCAATGGGGATTGACCATGCATGATGGCGGCTGGTGGGGGGGGAGAGGAGCTATGGCGACAAAGCACCAGTTCGTGAAGCTCTCACCAGACGGATTCGAGATGCGGCAAAAAGTCGGAACAGCAATGACGAGACCTGGTATGAGCTCCGAGCTCAAGAATTCCTGGCTCTCAAATGTCACGTGATATGTCGTTGCCGGGGCGACATTGCTGTGACGCGGGACCCCTGTTGACTTTGGCGAGGTTTGGCCCAAGCTTTCTTCCCGCTCCGCCCTTGCAACGACGAACCATCTTCTTCCACAACGAATACCACGAAACTGCTTTGGAGCGGTGATTGCCAGTGCCTTTCCTTCGTTTGGCGTGCTTCTTCTCTTTTCTTTGGAGTCAATTGGCCAGCATACACCATGTCGGTACGAGTCGTTGCGCGCATACGTCCGCTGCTCCCCAAGGAGCTTGACAAGGACACCATTGTCACGGCAGACAGCACCGAAGAGGGCAAGCCAGCCACGCTCGTCAAGATCCCGAACCCCAAGAACGAATCAGAGGAGTTTTCGTTCGCGTTCAACAGTGTCTATGACCAGGCTGCGACGCAAGAGGCGCTGTTCGCTTCAGAGGGTACGCAGGATGAGATGGTGTAGGACAGACTTGGCGGCAATACGGCTCTAACATTTGGCTCTAGTCTCACCGCATCTCAAGTCTCTATTCCAAGGTCTCGACGTCACCATATTTGCCTATGGAGTTACCGGAACCGGAAAGACGCACACCATGCGAGGCGGTCTCAAGCTGGCTGATCGAGGCGTCATCCCTCGGCTACTGAGCGGCATCTACAGGAGAGGAAAGAAGACCGCGAAGGACACGGACGGCCAGACCACAGTGGATGTGGCCCTCTCCTACTATGAGATCTACAACGACAAGGTCTTCGACTTGATGGAACCCCCCGAGAAGAGACTGCCCGCTGGTCTGCCGCTGCGCGAGAAAGATGGCAAAACCATCGTCGTCGGCCTCTCCGAGCGACCTTGTCAGGACCTGAAGGACTTTGAGAAACTCTACATCGAGGCCAACAACAACCGCGTCACTGCGTCGACCAAGCTCAACGCGCACAGCAGCAGAAGCCATGCTATCCTGCGCGTCAAGGTCACACAAACCACTGGCGACGTGGTCAGGGAAAGTACCGCTTCCGCCATTGACTTGGCTGGATCCGAAGACAACCGCAGGACAGACAACGGAAAGGAGCGCCTTGTCGAGTCGGCTGCCATCAACAAGAGCCTGTTCGTTCTTTCGCAGTGTATCGATGCCATCTCCCGAGGCGACAAGCGCATTCCTTACCGCGAGTCCAAAATGACGCGCATTCTCAGCCTCGGCCAGAACAACGGCATCACAATCATGATTCTGAATCTGGCACCCCTCCGAAGCTACCATCTCGACACGTTGAGTAGTCTCAACGTCAGCTCGCGGGCGAAGCGCATCGAAGTCCGCGAAATCGAGAACGAGGTTGTCTTCAAGCAGGTCCCTCGCACAAACTCGAACAACGGCGCTGGAACGATGCGCCAAGCACTGCGGCCATTGGCCAATGCGCACAACGTCCACAGTGGCGTCATGGCCAGCAAAGAGAAGGCTGCGGATGCGACGCGGCCCGTCAAGGCGTTCAGTGTCTACACTGACAAGAGCAAGCCTACTGCCATGGCGCGTCCGACTGCCGTTATCACCCAGGTCCGCAAACGGCCCTCCGATTCCGACAGCCTTCCTCGACCGACCAAGATCATGAGACCTAGCCAGCCTCTCCATTCTGCGCAAACAAAGCTTTCCATCTCCGCCGATCAGCTCGAGGCTTTGGTCGAGAAGAAGGTTAGCGAGATCCTTGCCGCGAGAGTCAGCCAAGCGGCTGAGCCTGCGGCACCTGCTGTAGCGGCAGTTCATCCCGATATCAATGATGCTGTGCAGAAGAGACTGGAGGCACTTGAGAGGCGGATACAGGAAGACGAACGACGGGAAGACTCAAGATCTGATGGCCTAAGGCACCTGCTGCTGGCACGGCAGGCAAAGGAGAAGGGTGACGACGCGACTGCACTGGAAATGTACGAGCTCGCGCTCCCCTTCTTCCCTGGCCAGGCCAAGCTCCTCGGCAAAATCGAGAAGCTTCGCGCGCGGCTCGGTATGGACGTGGAGGAAACCGCAAAGGAGTCGAGGCGGAAGCGCCGAAAGGTCGTTGCGTTGGATGAAGATGAGTATCACGGCGCCGTCGATGCCGACGCGGACGCAGATGAGAGTTTTGTGTACCGCGATCCCAAGCCCAGAAGCAAGAAGACTGCCAAGCATGTCAAGGTTGCCGTTCCCTTGACAACGACTGCCTATGAGCCAATATCACCGCGCTCTCAGCAACTGCTTGACATTGTCAACTCGAGAGATCTGGCACAGATCCAACGTCTGCACGGCTTTGGGGCGAAGAAGGCGAGGGACTTGGTGGACTTCTTGCGTTTGATGGGCGAAGATGACGATGGAAACATTTTCACCTTGGCCCAGCTGAGAACTGTCCCTGGCATGGGAGGCCGCACTGTCGAGCGGGCGTATGAGGGCCTTGTCGGTGCCGTGTGAGTTTGGGCCTACGGGCTGGCTTGGTCGCATGGTTAGTTCTGGACGATGCAGGGTCAGCGAGGCGTTTGCAAGTCGGGGCGCGTGGGGCTGCATATCACTGGGGTTAGGAGTTTGGTGTCTGGCCCTCATTGGGAGGCCATGGACGCGTTGGTCTTTTCGTTTTTGATTTTCTGATTTTGGCGAAGTACCATGCATGAAATGCCAACGCTCACTGCACTCTAACATCATTGAACCATCTGTAGTGATGTCTGTGCATCCGAATCACGTGTACCCATTAGTCACCAACACCACATCAACTGACCGTGCTGGCAGGTGCAGAAATTGAGAAAGAACTCCCAGTGGCTTCGTCTTTGAATGTTCCGTTGGTATCTGAATCAATCTGTGAGCCTCATGTGGGAGGCCGAATAGAACAAGCTTGCAGATGGATCTCTTTGAATCACAGGACACGGCTGCTCAATCCAGTAGCCTGGCACACTGCCTTTCAAACCATCGCCGCAAGTAGTAGCAGCATCCTGAAGGGGGTCCAGGTCTCTTTGACAAGACGGGGAACAACTTGAAGAGCTCTTGCTTCTTCCAGCAGCCTCTCGTTAGCTTGCACTGTCGGGTATAAGTAACATGGAACGACCCAAGAACATAGTGTGACCAACAGCGCAAAACACCCGCTCTTCCATGTTTACAGACACTATGAATTCCAGTTCTCAGAGCTCGGGAAGTACCAGCAGTGCCTCCGCGCCCCGCGTTGAGAGTTTTGATTCCGACCTCGAAACTCAGCTTCGATATCTTGTCCCGCCTCAGCATGACCAACATCAAGATGAATTTGCTTCTAGCCCACTGTTGACGGTGCCTGCTCTAAAGACCTGCCCAGACATCCAACACGGTCTTATTGGGGTCAGCAGTGTCTCGTCCAAGAAGCTCAATGGTTCTGAGAGTAGGGCGGATATTCTTTCCGCAAGGGTCTTCCAGAATGTCACCGCTCCGGCTTCGACATTCATCTGTGGCAGCCAGGGAGCCGGCAAAAGCAACACGCTTGCTTGTCTGTTGGAGAACTGTCTATTACGCAGCAAGCTTGGCAGTCTGCCTCGTCCTTTGACGGGAATTGTGTTCCATTACGATGGATTCAACTCGGACCTGATCGGGCTCCCCTGCGAAGCTGCCTTCCTTGCGTCTGACCGGCAAGTGAGTGTTCGCGTCCTTTGTGCGCCTACCAATATCCAGACGATCAAGGTGAGCATCACGTATCCAGCAACGGAAAGAGATGTATGCTGACGACGACAATTCCAAGAAGACCTATGCCCGGGTTCCCAACGTCGTCATTGAGCCATTCCGTCTGAGAGACGAGGATCTCAACACGCAGAGAATGCTCAACTTAATGGCAGTAGGCGCCGGGAACGTACCCCTCTACATGCACGTTGTGACACGCATCCTGAGGGAGATGAGAATTAGCCAGCAAAATTCCGGTCAACCATTTAAATATTCGCAGTTCAAGGCCACGATGAACAAAGAAGACCTGCAGGTTGCGCAATCGGTTCCCCTCCAGCAGAGACTGGACACTTTGGAGAGCTTCATGGCATCATCGGCGATTCTTTCGAAAAAACAGAAGAAGGCTATGAAAACGACGGAAGCAAACAACTGGACGCCTTGCGTAAGTTTCTGTTCGACTTCTTGGGGCTCTACTTACGAAAGTTTTAGCCAAGCCAACTTATCATTGTCGACCTTTCCTGCCCATGTGTCACGTCGGACATGGCATGCTCCCTGTTTAACATAGCACTCCAACTGTTTCTTGAAGGTGACAAGAGTGTCAGTCGAGTAGTTGCTCTAGACGAGGCGCACAAATACATGAGGGATAGCTCCCCGGAGTCGTGCATCTTCACCGAGAATCTGCTGGGCGTCATCCGGCAGCAAAGACATCTCGGCACGCGAGTCATCATCTCTACTCAGGAGCCGACAATTTCGCCCAAGCTCCTCGACCTATGCTCCGTGACGATCGTCCATCGCTTCACGTCTCCGGACTGGCTCCGTACACTGCAGAAACACTTGGCCGGAGTGTCCTCGTTGGTGCCTGCAGAGAACGAGGGAACCGAGGCTAAGAAGAACCATGGGAGGCCTGGCGTGCACCCCATCACTGTCCGTGGAAGAGACCCTGCAGCAGAACTCTTCTCGCTCATTGTCAACCTTTGCACTGGCCAGGCTTTGGTGTTCTCGCCTAGTTCTATCATTGGGAGCAAAGACCTCGATCGTGGGTGTACGGGTGGAAATAAGGGCGTCAAAATTGACGACACCGACAGCTCAGATGACTCAAGCAGTGGGAATGACAGCTCGGAGGATTCCGACCGGACCCTTGAAGCTGCAGAGCGTCTCTCCCATCGGGTTCTGAGAGTGAACATCAGAGCTCGGCTCACATCAGATGGAGGGCGGAGTGTGATGGCTTTGTAAATCCGGTGATTGTACCATAGCCACAGGATATTGAGTTCATATCAAATGAGGGGCAGTCATTGGTTGCATAATCTGAAGTCGAATAATGGGACTGACACTGTCGAGTTGGGTCCAACAGTTGCTGCACCTCGCGGGTCGGCAAGCCAGCGACTCTTCATACTACCAAAAAAAAAAGAAAAGAAAACAATGCTTATGACTGGGGGAAAAGGCTGTGTTTCTGCTTCAAGACCGCCCAACATGAGCGACATCAAGCATGCCATGCATAAAGCAAAGGCCTCCCCCATGGAAGGATGTTGAGTGGGAAGCGGACATCTGTAGATTCCGAGTCGCATCAATTGCTGCTTCCGTGTTCCGAGGTTGTTAAAAGGACTCAACGCCGAGCAATCATGACTCTGTCAGTCCTAATTCTATCAAATAGACAGAAATACCAAGGAGCATGAGAGCTTGAGGCGGCAGTGCCCGTGTGCCGCAAGCTTTCGGCGAGGTTGAATAGCATGACTCGCAGGTGGACCGACTCGGGCTGGAATCCTAGGCTCAAAAGGGCCCCGAAAGTGGATTGCCATGTGCTCAACGTGGATTTCGATTCTGGATTCTTTGAGGTCTCTGGGCCCTTTGCTCCACGTGATGAGAGCTACACTCCAGGACGCCTGCATGGGCATCGCCCAAATGACAGCCGATGACGCCTGTGACTTATTTTGGTACGTACTACGTAACTGAGGAATGCGTGGCGGGCGAGCAGGAACAACAGGAACAACCAATGACATCACGAAGCAGTAGCAGCCTCCCACTCATCGCTCTCCCGAGATTTGCGTCACTCTGAGCGGTGACGCCAGGCAAAATCCAATGTGAGGGGCAAGAGTGGCTGAGATGCCAAGGAAATAGTCACAGCGCCAGCACCAATTGACACCAGGAGCAGGCAGTGACACAGTGACAGGGGGTTTCCGTTGGACAGGCAAGAAGCAACACAGGGAGAAGGCGCGGGAGGACCGTCCACTCCCAGATTCGCATCAGCCCCGCGCCTGGCCAACGAAGAGGGAAGGAGGGCTGGATCTCGATCTGGGTTTCGGCAGGACAAGGGCGTTCCCCCTTCTGCTCCCCAGTCCGTTCTCGTAACCCTACCGTAGTCCACAGCAATCTGCTTCATCCATCTTGCGGCGCATCTCTAGCTTGTAGCCCGCTCACCACACGCGTTTCGCCACCGCGTACCTACCTCTTTCGAGCCTCACACAAACCTTCACCACCCCCTTCACCTTGTAACCACAGTGCTCGCACATCGTCTAGCCCTGCACCATGCCACGACATGGCCGAAGCTCCCCCTGATGAGCCACCTTACCCGGCTCCCGAACATGAGCATCTCACCCCAGATGAGCAGGATAGCGCCCAGCGAGGACACGCATCTGAGGATCCTCTCAAGCTGGACGATGACCGTGCTGCCTCCCTTCTCGAGCTGCAGACCCTCACTATCACCGAGGTCCTCGACCAGGATTCACGACCCACCTTTGTCATTGATCTTGACCCAGATGAGGGCATCACAATAGGCGCAAAGCGCATCTGGCCAGTCTTCTGCAATTCGGCTCTCCGCACACATGAGCTACTTCTCGATGCTGTGCTGGGATGTGCGCCTCAAGATGCCGAAACTCCTCATGCCGTCGCCAATGACACTGCAGTAGACACGACGTACGAGGACTTCAGCAGCTGGGCTACGGGCGTAACCAAGTTTGACAACTCCAAAGATGTCTTCCCGCTCTTCTTCAGCTACCGCGACATGCTGTGGACAGGTTCCACCGTCCGCCAACGCTGGAGGCTCATCAGCGGCAACTTGATCACGGCCACCAGCTCACGGCCTGCGACCCCCTCCTTGTCCAAGGAGACATCAGACCAAGGTCATGTCGACCCGCAAGCCACAGTCGCGCAGACAGACGCCAGCGTCTCAACGGCAGGAACAACGCTCTTCTCCTCCACCAAGCAGCATGCTCTCTCATCGCAGACCTCGAACCTCAACAAGACGGCCGGAACAAGCTCTGATGAGACGGGCACCACCTCGACAAGTGCACGCCTCCATCTCGCGACACCGGAAAAGGCCGTTGCAGACTGGACTGTACCGAACCCCAAAGGCATCCTCTCGGCTCACATCGCCTACGCTCGCACCGTGGCCTGGGAAAATACCCCTCTAGGTCCTCTCAACCAGTGGTCGCGCGAGTTTCGCCAGACTGTCAACCTGGTCATGGGAAATCCCTTCCCCGCAGCCCTCTTTTGGGGCAGTGACCTTACCATGCTCTACAACGAGGCATATGCTGCCGAAGTCGCTGGTAACAAGCATCCCTCTCTCATGGGCACGGGGTTTTCGGGACCTTTTTCAGAGTTATGGGATGGCGTGAGCGGCATCTTTGCCGAGTGCGCGCGGACAGGTGTCAGTATTCGCAAGGAGGACGACTATCTGCCTATTGAACGGCACGGCTTCCTCGAGGAGACTTTTTATTCCTGGTCTTGGACACCGCTATATGGAGGCACGAGCCGGATACTTGGCTTCTACAATGCGCCTTTTGAAACGACACAGTCAGTCTTGCACCAGCGCCGAACCAAGACGATCAACAAGGTTGGCGAAAATGTGGCCCGGGCCAAGTCCATCAAGCAATTCTGGAAACTTCTCATGGAGAGTTTTGAAGACAATCACTTCGATATCCCTTTCGCTTTGCTTTACTCCGTTGTCGATGCCGAGGACGACAACGAGTCATCCGTGTCCTCAGGCAGCACAATGTCTCTCAAGTCATGCCATTTCGAGGGATCCCTCGGAATTCCAGAGGGCCACAGAGCTGCACCCAAACAGCTTGACCTTAAGCGTAGCCGCGACGGGTTCATCCCCGCGTTCCGGGAATCCATGCGAACAAGAGAGCCGACGTTGCTTCACACGAGGGACGGAACCCTGCCAGAGGAATTACTCGAAGGCATCGACTGGCGCGGATTTGGTGACCCATGCAAACAAGCTATCATCTTCCCCGTCCGCCCGACCAACGGGGAGAACGTTCTCGCCTTTCTGATGCTTGGCATCAGCCCTCGTCGCTTCTATGACGATGGCTACAAGTCATTCACATCCATGCTGAACCGACAAATGTCAACCTCGCTGGCATCTTTCATGCTCTACGAGGACGAAGTGAAGAAGAGCCGCGATCTCGCGGAGGCAGCTGCTTTGGAGCAGGAAAACCTGACTCAACAGCTTCTCCTGCAGACAAGCCGTATGCGCCGCATGACAGAGCTGTCGCCCCTGGGCATGTATCTAGTCAGCCCAGATGGTGTTCTTCGAGAGGGCAACGACCGCTATTTTGAGATGACGGGCCATCCGAGAGACGTCATGTACGAGATGTCGTTTATGGAGCAGATTGAAGACGGTAGCAAGAAGACCATGATGGAGGGCTGGGAGCGACTGGTAAGAGATCACCAAGCGTGGACAGGTGAGTTGCAGCTGAAGAAGTTGCGCGTGCAACCTGTCGATCTGCACGGCGAGAGCATCGACTATTGGGTCATGGCAACTGCGCAGCCTGAGTTTGCACCAGACGGTTCGGTGCGGTCTGTCATGGGCTCTATCACAGACATTTCTCATCTTAAATGGGCGCAGGGTTTGCAGAACCGAAGGCTCCAAGAGGCCGAAGAAACGCGCCGGCAGCAGAACGAGTTCATCGACATCACATCGCACGAGATGCGAAACCCTCTTTCAGCAATTCTCCAATGTGCAGACGACATCTTATCTACGCTTGGCCAGCACCATGCCCAGCAAAAGATGCCGTCAAGAGAAGATGTTGAGGCCTGTATGGACGCGGCACAGACCATCTCGCTGTGTGTTCAGCACCAAAAGTCCATTGTCGACGACATTCTTACCGTCTCTAAATTGGATTCGAATCTACTTGTTCTTACGCCCATAAGCGCTCAACCAGTGGAGGTTGTCAAGCGAGCAATCAAGATGTTCGATCCGGAACTGCAGGCCAAGCAGATCGAGATGGTTTATGACATTCATCCGTCTTTTAAAGATGAGAACATTGAATGGATGATGCTTGATCCAAGCCGCGTACTGCAGATTCTCATCAACCTCATCACCAACGCCATCAAGTTTACCGCCGGCGCAGCCAAACGAACCATCACTGTCTCGATCAATGTTTCGCGGGAATCGCCTCGCACTGTCATCATTCCGGACTTTTGTTACATCCCACCTCGAACGCTCAACAGTCAAGTAGTCATGGGTGAAGAGTGGGGAAGTGGAGAAATCAGCTACCTTAATTTCCGCGTCACTGATACTGGTGTCGGACTTACACCAGAGGAAATGAAGGTACTTTTCGAGCGCTTCTCGCAGGCCTCACCGCGTACCCACGCACAATATGGTGGCAGCGGCCTTGGTCTCTTCATCTCTCGTCAGCTAGCCGAGCTTCACGGTGGTCAGATCGGTGTTGCATCCAAGGCGGCATCTGGGAGCACGTTTGGCTTCTTCATCGCTGCTCGGCGCACCGATGCGCCGTCGCTGGCACCCGTTGCACAGTCTCTGCCGCAGGCTCGGGATTTGGGCAACAGCGCGAACTTCCCCTTTCAGATCGTCGTTCCTCAGCGCCAGGACCTTGCGTCGCATACTTCCGCTGCGTCCGATCTCGTCGCTGCCAAGACATTTCCAGTGCCGGATTTTGACCCTAAGAAACTCGACATACTCGTAGTGGAGGACAACCTCGTCAACCAGAATGTTCTTGTCAAGCAGCTCAAAAAGGTTGGCTCACGGGTTGCTGTTGCCAACGATGGCGTTGAAGCACTCGCGTTTCTACAGCAGACACACTGGCGCAAGGATGGCGGGACGAAGCTGTCGGTTATCTTGATGGATCTTGAGATGCCTAATATGGACGGACTAACATGTGTCGGGGTCATTCGCAAGATGCAAAACGACGGGACCATTCGTGGACACGTACCTGTCATCGCCGTCACGGCTAACGTCCGAGACGAACAGGTGGCTGCAGCGCGACGGAGCGGCATGGACGACGTCGTATCGAAGCCGTTCCGGATCCCCGACCTCATGAAGAAAGTGGAGGCTCTTCTCGGGACGGTCGCAGGGGTTGGTCTGAGCATCGCGGGGGCCTAGTTTGCGGGCAGGGATGTTCGGTTCATGAGGCGCGAAGACGAGGCAGCGTGCCTCTTGTTGATGATAGAGTAGAACTGGTCAGCCGTAGACCCGAAGGTGCGAGGGCTGGCCTCGAGGCACGGTCGTGACGACGGCATGGCGTTGGAGCAAAGCATTGGAATGTTTGAAGGCATTGGAACCGCCTTCCTCGGCTGGTAGGACAGGATATCATGATGAGCTAGTTTTTGTCGCATTGTCATTCCCCGCCCCCTTTTCGTAATCACTATGCGTTGACTGACCTGGGCATGCTGGCAGTATTCTCTCTGCTTGTCTGTCTTGCCTTGCTTTGAAGCGAGCAGAGTGATCAGCCAATATTCTATTGGGGCGGTACAAAAAACATGGACTCAGGGCAACGAAGATCGTGGGCATTGTGGGTGGTGCTCCAGGCTTCCCCCCCCAAGGATGCCTTCACTTCCGACATATTCGCCGCAGTGCAGTAGCCATTGCTGACACGGGCTGGGACTCTGGCGGGCTGCTTACAACAAAAACAGACCAGCTTTCATCCAGTGCACGCATTCCATTCCTTTCCACCGCTTCACAATGCCAAACCCATAGACGGCCTCGCTCCAGCACCGACCACGGCCCGAGGACGGTCCACCATCTCAAAAGCTTCTTCCACATCCCCGTCTCTGCTTACGCCCCTCGAGCCGAACTCCACCGTCACTTCGGCCGTCCGCACGATCCCGCCCTTGGACCTGAGTATGCTGCCCTCGCTGTCCTCGTCATCCTCGCGCCCCTTGGACCCGTCGCCCACAAGTGTGGCGCCCCGCAACGTCGAGGCGGGGAACCGCGACGCGCCGTTCGAGCGCAGGTAGCCGCCACCAATGCTTCCGTCGCCTTGGCCAGAGACGCCAGCCGCCGCGGGGTATTTCGAGCGGTGCATGTCGCGGAAGAGGACGCGGAGAACGGGAATCGTTGTCGCGACAATGGTGACGTTTGGTTCGGCTTGGCCCCAGATGAAGAGCATCGAAAGGCGATCTTTCCCCGTCAGTCGTGCACCCGAAAAGGAGATAGTTTACAGTACAGCAGGGTTGGAATTGTGAAAGGCCGAAAACCGCTTGATGACGGGAGACTCTGGGGAGGGTAAAGGGGAAAAGGAGGGAAGCAGACGTACAGGGAATGTCCGGGCCGGCAGTGATGCTCATTGCCGACACGACTTTGATCACGCCGACAATGCCTGCTACGAGGCCGAGACTCATGGCAATGGCGACACCGATTTTTTCGTACTTCTTCATCTGCAGTTTCCACACAATTTTCCACGGAAGAAGCGCAAGGGCAAAGTCGACCAGAGCAGAGTAGCCTGTTCCCCGTTTGTCAGCATTCAAACACCGCTTCTAGGTTGGTTCAGTGCAGACGTACTGTTCGCCACCATGGCGATGATGACAGCGTCGACAACACTCCAGCATGATCCTGGCAACACAGCTTCATACTCATCTTGCCCCTCGCGATCACAGGCTGCCCTCCACGTCGTCACGGCGTTGGTCGCAAGCACACCGTTCATCGTCACGACCATGAACCAGATGAACCACTTCTGCCACCCCTGTGCCACACGTAGCAAGGTCAGGGCAAAAGAGGTCTTGCTGAGGCCAAGAGCGACCTTGTTGAGGACGTCGACGGTCGTGGAAAGGGTGTGCATGCGTGGAACAAAGCCGAGGGTCAGGCCAAAGCCCATGCGCATGAGCTCGGTGAGGACGGCCGTGGCGGCTATGAGGAAGAACTGCTTGTCATCAGCTACTGGGGAAGAGGCCATTCTCAGCAGCGAAAGAAGACTCACCCAGGCGAAGAGCATGATGTAGTCATCCCACCACATGCCCCTCGTGCGGACGGCTTTGCAGTAGATGCGGAGGAGCAGAAAGATAGTTGCAAAGGCCATCATGACCCATATGGAAGCGACCACAGTCGGAGCAGGGTCATTGGTGGGAACAGGCATGGTGGTAACGGCTATAGCCCCAGCTGCTGGGTCATCCTGTCTCCGCGCGAGGGCGTAGATGGTTCCAAGAGTCGACATAATGCGCTCTTTGCTTCGAGTCCGATGGTTTTAATTTTCAAGGCCAATTTCAGAACCTTACCAACCCCACGGCGCTGTCGGACTTGAAAGCACGAGACAAAGGACGGTCAGCGAGCACTGGGCTGCTTGAACATATCCTGAACCTCTTGTTGAGACCTGTATCGATCAGATAGAACGCCAATATCACCAGAGATAGTACGTTGAGTTTTAGGGCAAAGGAAGCCAGTGCTGGGCAGCGTCTGGTTATATGGAACTTCTGCACATGGTTGTTAGTTCTCAAGTGCGAAGTATATCAGCCGGGTGTCTTCAGCGGACCAAGGCCATTGTCACTCGTCAAGGAAGAAAAAAAGTTCCCGGGTGCCTGAAGGTATCTACCGCGCCAAGCACTGCAAGTTTGAGGGATACATGCAAGGAACGGAGAGCGTCTGGTCCAGAAAGAGTGGTAGAAAAGAGGCCCAATGCCAGGGTGGTGTCGGCCACACACAGCACGCACCCCATGTCTCGGTCTGATGTGTGCTGTAAAGGATCGATGCAGGACAATGAAAAAAGGTCAACAGAGAAAATCTCCGTATTTTTTGGAATCTGCTACCCCTGTTACCGTCACGAAGGATCACTACACATGAGGCGGCTTTTCAGTAAGGCCTGTGGTTGGACATCGAACATTATAGCCACAACCCTGCCACTCTCTGTGTCAAGTCATACTCGGATGATGAAGGAGATGGATGAACGTGCAGACGCACCAGGGCTGCGTTCCAAGTTGTTGTGGAGACAGGAGCTGTGCCGCGCTCCATGGAATGCTACCCGGCACGGCACGCTGGCATGTGAGACTAGACCGGCGGCCGGAAAGTTAAGGATCATCTCTGCCAAGGGAATAGCTGTGCTCTCAGGTTGCAGACCTTTTCTTACCCCGACCTGGGCAAGGTGCTCATCTCGTGGACGAGGCAAAACACGACGGACTGGAGACATATCGTTATGCCAAGCCCATCTCGACATGAAAGGAAAGGCATCTTATCCTCGCGTCAGCCTGGATCAAACAAGGCCGTACGTTGTCACAGGTGTCTCACATCCCAAGTGTGCGCTCAACGTCTTTGCGGAGGAGTTGTTGGGAGAAGTTCGACAGCATACTCTACCCCCACCTCAAGTGATGCACGGCATGTCACAGCTCGGTTAGCATGTGAACCTGCAGTGCTGGTCGCCAGAGGTTTGGTACCTGGCAGCCAAGTTCTTTTGTTCTGAGGCAGAAATTCAGCATACTGTCGAAATGTGGACTGTGCAGCTGAAGAAGGCCAGGGCCAGGGCCAGGAGACAACTTTATGGCACAGCATGGATCTTCACGTCCATCGACACGTACGTAAGGCCTTGTGCGTCTAGGCACGGCTAGTCATCGGAGGCCCCACGTCTCAGGCCAGAGACGTTCGTTTGTTTCTTTTCCCAGAAGAGATCCGTGGGGGAGGAAGCGGAAGCGGCGTGGAAAGAACTGGACGACGTTGGGATGTTGCGCCCTGCGCATAGCTTGGAGCGATGATACTACATTGGGTGGCGGCAGAAGAACGGCCGCAGCAAAAACAAAAGCCATCGAGGATGTTCTTGGCAAGGCGACAGGCTGGACCGAGACCGCTGAAGGATTCAAGCCCTGGAAATACGTAGTTCGAGGTGTGATGGACGGTGTGTGGTCGAGGAGAGGCTGGATTGGACAGGGGCCGCGGAAGGGCTTGCAACAGCCGGGGAGGTGGAGGCACATGGGGGTCGAGAACGGGAAACTGGGGGATGTGGTGATAAGGCCGCGGGAGCTTGTTGAACGGTTTCAGCGGAGTCTTCTGCCGGGATCCGAAGGGAGAGTTCCTGTGGGAAGGGGCAGCGATACATCCGCTGTTGATGCGCCTGATGCAGGGGTGCAGAAGAGGCGCTCGCTGTGCAGGGTTCGTTCGAGGTTGGAAAGAAGTGTAGAAGCGATGTAGACCCAGGGAAGGATTTGGTCGGAGTGGGTGGAGCGTCTGTCTGGGTGTGTCAGCGAGGGTCGTCCATCGATGTCAGGAGGCGGTAGGGGGGGTGGTTTAAAATGAGGGAGATATACACCTGTTCGAAGGCGAGACGTGGTGTTGGTGATGGTTCGACTGTTGGTGCAGATGAAATGAGGTTATCAACCAACTCGGTCAAGTTTAGGTAGACTCGCAATGGATGGGCGCTGGGAATATGCCATGAGTACCTGAGGTAAATGAGGAAGGGAAGGAAGGCCCTTTCTTTGGTTTGAGATCCAGCAGCTACATCCTACCCAGCCAACAGCCTGCCAGCTATGTGCGGGTGGCAGGCGCATGTCGCGGGGCAGGGGCAGATGCTGTGCAGGCGGAGTCGTCACTGCTCCAAGTCTGGAGGAGTTTAAATAGCAAGTACCTGGCTGGACTCTGGATTGGCCAATGAGGGGCTCCAATGCTCTTTCCACGGCTCACTATGGCGACCACGCTACAGGCAGGAGGCTTCTGTCATCCCTGGACATCCTCCCTGTGCCTGCTCTTCCAAGACACTCGCCTCATCGGATTCATCAGACCTTTCCTATTTTCCCCTCTTGCATGTCCTCGCCTAGGTACTCGAGTCGCAATTTCTGGCCTTCACTTAATCTCACTCTGCAGCTCAATGCACCACCCTGTATCTGTACACCAACAGGCTTTGCAGGCCAAGCTGTCCGCCAGACTTTGTTCCTTGCTCCTGCAGCAACATGGTCAATAGCGTCCAGGACCTTAGCCTCTTGGCTACCTTTAATCTTTGCCTTCTCTCTCTTCGCGAACGACGAGAGGTTCGATCAGATGCCCATGCCGCACCCGCAGACCAGCATGTACATTGCTCGGCATCACGCTTCGCTTCCCTGGTGTGTCGTTGGCTCTCCTGCCCCTCTGAGGATCGCGCCCAAGTCTTCGCCTCTTCGGAGGGCCACCCTGACCCGGACCTCCACTGCCCTCCGCAAGACGGAGAGTTGGGTCCCTCCGACCGCTCGGTCGTGCCAGCCTCTCGTGTCTTGACTGAACTTTGCGTCTTCAGATAACGCTATGTGGCATTCTCATATATGCCCCTCGTAACCGGAACCTCCGATGCTCAGTGTTCGGCTTGTTGACTTTAGCTCGGGTTTTCAGGCACACCACTGGAGAGAACAAACAAGTTGAGCGTCTTTTGAGGGATAAGACTCTCTGCGTCTCGCCGTGTCTCCTCCATCTGCTCCGGCCATCCAGTACATTCCGCAGCACCGTCGCCAGTCTCCAAACCCCCACCTGCGACCGCCATGAGGTCTGTCTACCTCGCTGCCACTGTGGTGGCTTTCGTAACCAAGAGCTTTGCGAAAACATGCCACTGCCTGCCGACAGAGGATTGCTGGCCGAGTCAGTCGGAGTGGAAAGCGCTGAACTCGACGGTCGGCGGGCACTTGATCAAAGTCGAACCCATTGGCGCTGTCTGTCACGACCCTACGTACGATGAAGCAGCATGTGAGGAGCTGAGGGCCAGCTGGGATGATGTCGCGGTCCAGTATGTCACAGACTCTCAAAGCAGTACCAAGTCTCGTCGTACTAACGCTGGTTATCAGCTACGAATCCACGTCGTCCTTGATGACAGCCTACTTCACGGGTGAGACGTGTGATCCATTCACCAACCGCACCGAACCTTGCACCATTGGCAACTACAATTCATACACTGTGGACGCTTCAGATGCGAAAGATATCGCCGCCGCCCTCACTTTCTCAAAAAAGCACAACATTCGTTTCGTGATCCGGAACACGGGCCATGACTTCTATGGTCGATCCATTGGCTACGGAGGCCTTGCCGCTCGTGTCAGCAACCTCAAGGATCGCGAAGTCATTCAGTGGTCGGACAAGCACTATAAAGGGCCTGCTCTGAAAATGGGTGCTGGCACCATGGGTTTTGAGGCCCAATCTTATCTAGAGACCAAAGGCCTCGTCATGGTTGCCGGTTACTGTTCCTCCGTCGGCCCTGCGGGAGGCTACGTCCAGGGTGGAGGCCACAGCCCCCTGAGTTCAGTTTACGGCCTCGCTGCCGACCAGACACTCGAATTCGAGGTCATCACTGCTGGGGGACAGCTGGTGATAGCGTCCCGAGACACCAATGCCGATCTGTTCTGGGCTCTCAACGGCGGTGGCGCTGGCACTTGGGGCGTCGTTGTCTCCATGACGGCTCGTGTCTACCCCATGCTGACCATGGGTGCCGCTTCCATGTTCATCGATCCTTCCTCTTTGGCGCCCGATGTCTTCTGGGCCATGGTTGACAAGTTTTACTCGCTGATCCCTACATTCACGGATGCCGGCGCTTACGTGACCTATGCCTACGGACCGCAGCACTTTGGCCTCTTCCCCTTTTCGGCCTACAACAAGACAGCTGCGCAGGTTGAGGCACTCCTGTCTCCATTCACCGACTATCTTGCCGAGAAGAAGATTGCGCATTACACCACCTTCAACGAGCTGCCCACATACATGGAGCACGTGGAGCGGAACATGGCCACCTCCCAACCCACGAAAGAGTACCCCTCCGGCGGTCGGATCATTCCTCGTGCAGTGCTCAAGTCTGCTTCGCGGCGGGCCGAGCTCGTCTCCGTCATGCGACGTATCGTCTCGTCAGGTGCCTTAACCTCCAGCACCGCCATGCGCCCACTGAAACGTACCGACAACCCCACCGCCGTACACCCTGCGTGGCGCGACGCTGACGCCCTCGTCATCATGACTTGGCCATGGCAAAACGCCGCAAAGGATGAGATGCAGGCCAAGGTTGAGCTGTTCCGCGATAAGCTGGCCCCACTGCTGACGGAGGTTGCTCCTGAGGGCGGCTCCTACAGCAATGAAGCTGATGCGTATATGAGAGGCTGGAGGAGAGAGATGTACGGCGAGAACTGGGAGAAACTGCTCGAAGTCAAGGAGAAGTGGGATCCCGAGGGAGTCTTCTACTCGAGGCGGACGCCTGGGGCGGACAAGTGGCATGTTGATGAAAGCACGGGCAAGATGTGTAGGGCGAATGTGATATGTCCCCCTGAGAGACGGAGACAGGTGTTCAACAACAGAAGTTGGTAAAGAGGGGCATCACTTTTGGGCTCCGCAAAATCTAGACGATGTAATAGATGTCGTAATTCCTATGCCAATTTTTTCCATAGGCAACTCTTTCTGGGGGGCTAATGAATCACCAAACCAGACAAACCCGAGGCTGCCATACTTATGCAAAATCTCAAAATACCAAACCTTTGAGACCCAACAACCACAACGCCTCGTCAGCCACCTCTTCCGGCGCTGGTGCAGCATTCAGAGGAAGCACATCAACTTCGTTCACATCAGGTGCCTCATAAACCGCAACTTGGCTATCTACCAGAGTCGGGGGCATGTAATGGTCCGCACGGCCGCCTGTGCGCGCGGCCAGCAGTTCAGGCTCGCCTTGCAGGTCCAGGAAGATGGTTTGCACATCTTGACCGACGATCTGCCTCAAAGCATCTCGATAAGACCGACGCAGAGCGGAGCAGCTCACAATGACCGAATCGTATCCGAGGTCAGAGATGGTTTCGACGGCTCTTTTTCCGACACGCTCCAACCAGGCAGAGCGGTCCGCATCTGTCAAGGCTTGGGATGCAGCCATCTTCTCGACCGAGGCGCGGGAGTGGAGCGAGTCACCTTCAACGAAGGGAACCCTGAGCTTGTGCGACAAGACTGTTGCCAGCGTGGACTTGCCGCTGCCGCATGGCCCAGCCACGATGACAACCGTCTTCTTCACCTCAGGCTTGCCGGCAGGCTGAGCCCAGGCATTGGCCTTGAAGTACGACACGAAGTTGTCGACGAGCTGCTGGTCCAGGACGCCCACACTCGCCAGCGATGGTGCTAATTCGCAGGCCTTGTTGGTGACATACGACTTGGAAGGACCGAATTCCGTCTTGTCGTACTTGGAAGCGAAGAAATCGACGAGCTTGATCGGCGGGTTGCGCGCCGGATCAGGGTTCGACGCGCGGAGACGCCTCACCCACTCCTTGGGCTCGACCTCCTCAAACTCAAGCCCCGCCCTTCTCAGCGCGGGCAGCAAGTCGCTCGTCCAGTCAAACACCCTGGGGTTCGTCACGTTGGTGAACACACCACCGGCGTCCGAGAGGGAGATCTCGGACACGGCGGCGGCGACGACATCGACGGGGGTCCAGGACGGCGTCTCCCTCAGCCGAGGCAGCGCCCCGATCGTGACGGCCGCCTGCAGCATGAGCGGGATCGCCTCCGTGTCGTTCCAGACGCCGTGCTTCGTGTCCGCGACGATCTGGCCGACGCGTAGCACCCGCGCCGTGACGCCGCGCTCGGCGGCACGGGCGCAGAGGTGCTCGGCGACGCACTTGGACTGAGCGTAGCCCATGCCTTGCGCCCACTCGAGCTCCGGAAGAGACTCTGGGACAGGGACGGTCGTCGCGCGGACGACGGTGCTGACAGAGGAGCAGAAGTTGAACGTTGCGGCCGATGACGGCGTCGCTTTGCAGAGGGAGATGAGGTTCGAGACGCCGGCTATGTTGGACTTTTCAAAGCTCGAGAGGCGCATGTTGAAATTGACGGACCACGCGCAGTGGATCACGGACCGCAGGGTCTCGGTCAGTTGGGTGTAGTTCTCACTTGTCAAGCCGAGCTGGTCGTCCGAGAGATCCGACGCGAGGCTGACAATCTTCTGGCGATCGGCGAGTCGAAGGCCGTGGTAGATGCGTCTTTGGATCAGAGAAGCTTGCACGCGCCGGGCGGCTTCGCTGTCGTTCTTGGCGCGCACGAGACAGTACACGGTTGAGATCGTGGGGTCTCTGGCGAGCTTTGCAGCGACGTGCGCTCCAAGCGAGCCTGTTGCGCCGGTGACGGCGACGGCTGAAGGGGCTCGGTCACTCGATGCCGGCTTTTGGGAGTATCGTTCGATGAGATTGCGCATCTCACTTTCGACCGACGTTTCTTCCACGGCCGTTTCGTTGCTCGAAAGACTGAACAGGTACGCGCTCAAATTCTCCACTGACGGATGGTCGAAAACCACCGTCTGCCCAAGCTTGTGGCCCTGGACGTCAATGGTCTTCAAGATGTCGCTTCGCATTTGAATGGCCTGCAGCGAGTCCAAGCCGAGCGAGAAGAAGTCTGTATCATTCTCAAAGGGAGTCTCTTTGCCCAATGCCTTGGATACGGACTGACGGACAAATTCGTGGAGTTGCTCCAGGCTGAGCTTCTGGAGATTGCCGGAAGAGGCATCCGCCTTGTCGTACGTCTCGTCAATCTCCTTGGCGTAGGTCTTGTAGAAAGCCTGGCGAATGACACTGCCCTTGTCGGTTCTGGGGTAGTCGCAGCCATAGGGTAGGATCTTGATGAGGTTCTTGGGGATCTTGGCATATGCCTCAACGTTGCGGCATGCGGCATCAACCACGGGCCAGATGACTTCCATCGCTTGCTCCTCGGTCTTGCCCCCGAGCGACGCGGCGGGGACAATCAATACGCCCAGGGCCGATCGACCGACACCGAAAATGACGGCTTCGGTCACATGCTTGCTGGAGCGAATGGTTCCCTCGGTAGATACGGGGTTGAACATTTCACCATTGACGAGATTGATGGTATCGTCACGGCGAGCAATGTACTTCCAGGCTTTGGGGACCGTGGGATGGGGTTCAAAGAGATCCTTGGTCGCGTACGACCCATCGTCCTGGTTTGAGGCTACCTTGGATGGCCAGCCTTCGAGCACAACGCACTCGTAGAGGTTCTCGCCGCGGGGCACCCATCGAAGGTATGGTGACAATTTGGGCGTCTCACGCACGTAGTTCCAACCCTTGTCATCCGCGGGGCGGAAAGAGGTCATTAATTGACCAACTTCGGTACTGCAAATCATTAGAATGCAAATCTCTCAACGACAAAGGCGGGTAACGTACGCTCCATAGTGGCCGACGAGGTTAACTCCGTGGTCGACCAGGGAGTTTCCAAGGTCATCGGGGCAGGCCGAGCCTCCATACATGACAACCTTGAGGTCCCGCAAGAGGGACATGCCCTCGTCCGTCTCGGAGAGGAGCTTCAGTGCATACGGTACGCCGTAAAAGATCTCGAAACGGTGTGTTCGCATAATCTTGGCCAGGTAGTTGTGGGTAAGGGGGAGATCCGCGTTGTACAGATGAATCTGCTTGCCGCAGTGGATCGCGCGATACAGGTTACAGATGCCGTGGTTATGATACAGTGGCAGCGTGATGAATGCCTTCATCTCCATGCTCCAGGCGTAGTTGGCAACTGCTGACTTGTGAGTCTGATAAATCGGCTTGGGCAAGCCCGTGGAACCTGTACCGAATTAGCCATATGTATGAGGCCTCTGAATGGTATTGGATGAAGCTAACCACTTGAGTGAATAATGTAAACTCGGTTGTTTGTCTCGGTTGCTGGGTCGAGGTGAGCATCCAGCTGCGTGTCTGCGTGAACCTCAATCTCGAAATCAAAGGCTGAACTATTCACAATTTCAAGAGTTTCCAGGCCGGGCAGCGACTTCCTAGCGACTTCTGCGGTTGCGGCATGGCGGGGATCCGCGATGAGAACCTGAGCCCCAGTCGTTTTTATCAAGTTCTCAACAGCCTCCTGAGAAATTCTGGTCGACAGAAAGAGTGTGGTGTGTCCCAGCTTGGTCAAGGCAAGCATTGTAATGAGATACTCGAAATTTGACGGCCCGATGACTGCTACCGTCATGGGCTTTTCTGCCGAGGACAGGCGCGTAGGAAGTGACTGCTGGTATGACTTTGCCGCGCGATATGCGAAGACGTCAAGTTGACGCATGGTGTAGTCGACATATTCAATGCCCGTGGAGGGGTAGGACACGATCACCTTGTCAGGATGGCTTCGTGCCCTCCGTCGAACGAGCTCATCCACGGTTTGTATTGTGGAATCATCTTCAACGATGGCTGTCTGGGGCTTGGCCAACGATTGCAGCGGAGAGTTGCTGGGGCTGACTAGACCCGTGGGCCCATAGACTGATGGAGGCGCCATGTGTGGAATTGGTGTTCAGTACGGTTTGAGGGCAGTTCAAGAGAATGGCCTATCTTCTCGACAGCCACTTGAGAGCCAAGGGTCGCTGTCCTTATGAATTCACAACCAGGGTAGTCAGTCATATCCGTTTCTACCAGACTGAAATGTCATCAGCAGATCTTAGACGGCACGTCGGCATAGACGGATAGCACGCAGATGGATGCGGATAAGTCGAACCCGCTTTTCCCCAGATTGTGAGGCTAAGTAACGGATATGTCCATGATGCCAGAATGAGGGGCGCAATTCCGGGGTGCTTAGCCAGCCTACGGATTCGACGGATTTGACGGATTTCCCAATTGAGCCTGCGATCGCTTCTCCGCCCAATTAGGAACCAGCGTGACGACGACGGTTTCTCATTTTGGTGGCAACAGGTCGTATTCCGTAGACATTTGGCTGGTGCAGCTGGGACTCATGCCAACTATAACTTTGCTGTCTATTTGACCGTTGTTACTGTTCACACGCAGAACCGGCTCTCATCTGACCTACCACCTCCCCTTTGCTTTCCCCTCGTCATCAATATGCCTCTCGCAACACATCTCACTCTCAACACAGGGGCCAAGATCCCCGCTGTTGGCTTCGGTACCTGGCAGGCCAAACCTGGTGAAGTCGAAATCGCGGTTGAGACTGCTCTCAAGGCCGGCTACCGTCATATTGACTGCGCCGCGATCTACCGCAATGAGGCAGAGGTCGGTGAAGGAATCCGAAAGTCAGGTGTGCCACGGTCTGAAATCTTCCTTACTGGCAAGTTGTGGAACACAAATCACGCGCCTGAAGATGTTGAAGCCGGCGTCAACAAGACGCTACAGGACCTCGGCACCGACTACCTCGACTTGTTCTTGATGCACTGGCCAGTGTGAGTAGTGCCGCCAATGGGGAGTTTGTAGGTACATACTGACAGTCATCAGCGCTTTCAAGAATACTGGAAAGTGGTTTCCCCTTGAGGACAATGGCGTGTTTGCGCTGGCAGATATTGACCCATCGGTTACATGGGCTGCCATGGAGAAACTCGTGACCTCTGGAAAAGTCCGCGCCATCGGCGTCTCCAACTTCACTATCAATAGGCTTGAGTCTCTTCTCGCGACCACCAAGACCGTGCCGGCCGTCAACCAGGTCGAGGCACACCCTTACCTTCAACAGCCGAAGCTCTTTGACTTCTGCAAGTCAAAAGGCATCGTGCTGACCGCCTACTCTCCGCTCGGTAACAACCAGACCGGCGAGCCTCGAACAGTTGACGACCCGCTGGTCGGAGAGCTGAGCGACAAGCTCGGCGTTGACAGGGGGCAGCTTCTCGCCGCCTGGGGCGTGCAGCGTGGAACCGTTGTGTTGCCCAAGAGTGTCACGCCGAGTCGTATCAAGAGCAACTTTGAAGTGCGCGAACTTCCTACCGACGTGTTTGAGAAGCTGAACGGCTTGGAGAGGAACAAGCGATTCAACTGGCAGACGAGATGGGGTTTCGATATCTTCCAGGAGGTCGGAGACGAGGAGGCCAAGAAAGTAGCGCAAGAGGCCGCAGAGGAGAACAAGACGAAGTTCACCGTGTAGAGGGGCATGAGTTGGACTAAATCGAATGCAGGCTAGATAAAACAGGCTAGATACCAATGTCCGGCATCCACTGGAGGGAACTCGGTTCAAAATCCATGTATGGGCCAAACGCTGAGGAATCCAGGTCAAGCCAATCCGTCGTGTGCCACTCATCCAGAAGACTGTATCCAAGCTGTCCGCTAGGATCCAGGGGCACGTCCAACCCTTCGGCCCCCGGCAGTTGATAGTATGACACGTCCTGAAGCGGCCCTACCTGCGCTTCAGAGTGCATCGCCTGTCCCGGCTGCATTTCCGCCAGGTGACCACTGTCGCCACCGGGCACTGGCGGAATTCCCATGGCTTCGGAACGAAACTCCTCCAAGATGACGGCATACCGCCGACTGGGGGAGTTTGTGGCCGTTGCTTTGGCAAGATGCGTCTGGCACCGCCGCGCAAGCTCCATCAATCTCGTATGCTTGGCTTGCTCCTTTCCCACCAACACGACGCCTCTCCGCTTGAGTTGTATGTCCCAGACATACGAGATGACCAAGGCGCAAAAGGTGACATACTGCGTCCACCAAAAGGCGTGAAAGATTGGGCCCTCGGCAGCTAGGCCATCAACTGTCTCGAACACGCTGCGAGCGGCACCCAGACACTCGGCAATCTGGGTTTCGCTCTCCGGGTACACCGTCGCCAGGAGGAACAGCCTGTTGGCGTGCATAATGGCGTGACTGTAGCCAAGCTTGAGGACGATGGATTTCCGCCTGAAGCTTGGAACCAGCATTGAAGGATGGATGGAGCCCAAATATGGTGGCAGGCTCTCCTTCCACTCGTGGACTTCTTTACTGAGTCGATGTGCGGCGGAGATGCGTTCTTCCTCCGATATGGGTTTGATCGAGTAGACCTCACGCGATATCTTGCTGATGATTTGGGCGATCCTAGCAAATTGTCAGTCATGATATCTAGACCCAGGTCGGAAGCCTTACTTGATGTGAAATATCAAAGCCTCTGCTGCAGCGCCTGCCTGCTCGCCGCCCACAGCGATGGGTCCTTGGGCTGTCATGTCATCGTCGTCGATCTTGTCCGGTAAGACTTGGTCAATGTCGTCGTCATGGTAATGCCTTGGACGCCCGAATATCACGCCAAGGTACTTGTCCAAGATGTACGCTGTCCAAAAGGTGCGCACACGGAATTGCGACTGTATATAGTCGACGGGGCTCGAAGTGAGCTGGCGCTTTCTCGCACTTTTTCGATGGAGACCCAACGCCGAGATGATCTGCAGTCCATTGCCAAAGGTGTACCAAGCTCGATTGAATCGAGAGGTGGTCAGGAGATACAAGGTTTGAATTATTCGCGCCTGAGCAGACTCGAGTCGCGGGGACCCGGTTTCCGCATCCGTGAGCTGAGCAGCAACGCAGAAGAGATGGTCGCTTGGGGACAGTGAGAGCGCGTCGACCTGGTCGGAAGCGAGACCACGCGACTTTTGACGATGTGCCGTCGCTACAGCTAGGCAGGCGAGTACGATGGACGTCCTGGCTCTGCCAAGACCTTGCCAAGGTACCTGTCCCCCTTGGACATTTGTTTCGATGGTCTCCAGCCAAGACTGTACCGTAGGTCTATGCACAATGTGGTATGTTGCAATGCAGACATCAAAGTACATGGCCAGCAAATCCACAAGGTCTTGATGGCCAGGCAAGTTCAACCTGTAAATATCCTCTTCCGAGGTCTGAGGCAGAGGTCTGTCTCCGGCCAGCATAACAGGTTGGTGTTGGACAGAGGCGTAGGCATGGGAGTCATTGACAGGAACGGCACCATCATGCTTGGCTAGCCTTTTCCATGCCCGGTGGAGAAAGGTCACGCCGGATGTAGGGTCAAAGACTTGTCCCTCAATTTCCGCCATACCGAGCTCAGGGGACGCACGGGATGCCGGTACACTCTCACTGAGACGATTGACGCTCAAGCGCATATTCTCAGGTCGAGAGACAGTGACCCGGGGCTCAGTCTGGTGATCCAGTCTGGCACTGACATGGCGAACTGGGGCCGTCGGATGATGATCCCGTGAAGGTGGCGGGGTCGGCGGACGGCCCCTCGAGTATCGAGCCGCATAGAGGCACGTCAACCCCCTACTGGAGCAGGTCGCGCACGGTATCGTGCCACTGCACTTGGCTTTGCGTTGCTTGCAGTGGTCACATGCCCTGCTGACCTTGTGGCCCTTGCTGCCTCGGCCGTGGTTGTGGGTAATTGTGTCATCAGAGCCAGGTGAGCCCAGCGTGTCGCCATTTGCTGTCGAAAGGCTGCGTTTGCGTGACATGCGCTGAGGAGAAGAACCGGACGCGCTCTCCGCCGAACGTTGCGCCGATTTGGAGACGCGAGCGGCGGCCGCGGCTGTGGGGGTTGATGCTTGTGAATCCATTGCTGCTGATCCCAGTTGCACAGGCTGGGCTGGGCAAAGATACTCGCGTCGTTTCAAGCGGGCGACAGGGACGGATTCCTGGTCAACTTGAGAAACAATGTAAAGAGTGAAGAGCAAGGCGGAAACTTGCTGGGGATGGGACGGATAAAGAATGAACACTGGAGAACTGCGGGGAGACTGGAGATTCTCCATGCGACGCCCATTTGCCGAGCTTGAGATCCGGGGCCCCCCGCAGGCTGTCAACGCGAGTAAATCCGTCTTTTCCGTCTCGGCTTGGTGACCATAAGACTGCCAAGAGCCCAGTTTCCCAGTCTCCACGAAGGCCAAGACGAAGCCTGGGAAGTCTGAGCAGCTTTCTATTCCTTCAACCTGGGGCATCTTGTTACCATCCAGCGCGAAGAGAATCCTTGCCACGGATTCCATCGATTCAATTGCTGGACCCCGCGCGATCCACCACGTAAATTTGTCTTGGTATCTCCACAAACGCACCTAAGCTTCTGCGGCGAAGGGGAGAGGGCAAATCTGTTGCGCCATGTGTCACAGCGAGGATGTTCCCCAGGGAATGTCACAAGTGATGGCAGACTACAAAAGCTCGGCGCTCGCGCGCATTCAGTCTGGAACTATGGTTCGATAGCCAACCTTTTTGATCTCGCGACTTTCTCAACTACGAGAATCTAGGTCAAGTTGAGGAGATACTGCACCATTTGCGCCTCATTCTGACGCAGGGCTTGCCTGTCCCAAGCTGCGAATATGGCGAACAACAATCTCTCCACCGAAAAGCCCGAAATTGTTCTCGTGGACGACAATCGCGACGCGTCGGATGACGTGCCCGAAAAGGCACCTCATGCGCGGGTCATTGATTCGTTCCACGTCTTGGGGTTGACCGACGACGATGTTCATTTCTATGACAGCTACACACCGGAACAGAGAAAGCGAACAATGCGAAAAGTGAGTTTGAAAAAGCCTGTGCCGGGATGAAAGTCTGAGAGGTGCAGTCCTAACGATTTGCCCGCAGGTCGACGTACGCTTGACTCCCATGCTTGCGGTTTTGTATCTCATTTCTCACCTCGACCGCTCCAACATTGGAAACACCAAAATTGAGGGCATAGACGTCGATCTCGGAATCAGCGGTATTCAGTGGAACATTGTTCTGTCCCTCTTCTTCGTCCCTTATATCCTCCTCGAAGTACCCTCCAACGTCCTCCTCAAGAGATTCAAGCGTCCATCTCTGTACATGGGCATACTGGTCACGACCTGGGGTGTCATTATGACCCTCCACGGAGTCGTCCAGAATTTTGGCGGCCTCCTCGCTCTGCGCATGCTTCTAGGCGTTTTCGAAGCCGGTTTCTTTCCCGGCGCCGTCTATCTTTGCACTTTCTGGTACATGCCACGAGATCTGGCATCGCGCATTTCATGGTTCTACTGCATGAGCGCATTGTCTGGTGCCTTTTCGGGGTTGCTGGCCGCAGGTATTGCGAAGATGGATGGTGTCGGCGGCTACGAGGGCTGGCGCTGGATCTTCCTCATTGAGGGTATCATTACCGTGGCACTGGGCATCATGACGTTTTTCTGCCTGGTAGACACGCCTGCTCTCAGCGGGAGGTGGCTTGACCCTGAGGAGATTCGGTTCCTCGAGCTCCAGCACTTCATCAAGCAGGGAGGTCGATTCCAAGATGAGGCCAAAGAGGACAAATACATATGGCAAGATCTCAAGGCCTGCGTCCTCAACTGGAGACTATGGCTGGTGGCCTACATCCAGTTCTGCCAATCGGCCATGAGCTACGGTACGTTTGAACTCCTTTTAACTACCTAAGACTCGACGACATCAAATACTCTACGAAGTTTGACTGACGACTGACCGGCGATAGGCACCAAATTCAACCTCCCGACCATAACACGTTCCATGGGCTTCGAAAACACACAGGCGCAATTGATGACCGCGCCTCCCTACGTCGCCGGCGCCATCTCGTCCATTGTGTTCTCCCAATTCTCAGACCGCTACTACTGGCGGATGCCTTTTGTCGTCATCCCGTTCAGTTGCGTCTGCATCGGCTTCAGCATCATGCTCGGTCTTCGCGGCAACTTTGAAAACCAGGTTGGTCCGTCCTACTTTGCCGCCGTCATTGCATGCATCGGCATCTACCCGGCCATGCCGGCCGCCACGTCCTGGGCAGCGAACAACCTGGCGCCGGCTTCGCGCCGTGCCGTCGGCTTGGCCCTCAACATTGCCCTGGGAAACATGGGCGGCATCATGGGCAGCTACATGTTCTTCGACTCGGACGCGCCCATGTACAACACGGGGTTCGGCCTCAGCTTGGCATTTGGCTTGAGCGGTCTGCTCATGGCCTTCGCTGCTGAGGCTGCGTACAAATGGGGCAACAAGAAGAAGGAGGCCTTGTCGGAGGAGGATATCAGGGCTCGGTACACCCAGGATCAGCTCCTGAAGATGGGAGACAGGAGCCCCTTGTTCCGTTACACTCTTTGATGTATAAGTAAAACTTCGTTAGTCGTTATTATGATTCAAGATATGGTTGATTTATGGTCTCCTAATTGAGTGATTCGTTCCACGTGCATCTGCCGATGATGCTTATGTTCCTCAACTTGATCTCTAGGAAAGGAGCAACCCCTAAAAGCGCATATGGGTGGGTGAGTAGAAAGGGACCAGAGATGGATGACTAAGTATGAGTCCATACTGCAGGAGCTCGGTGTGGGGTCGAGGCTTATCGGTCCCTTATCTGAAGAACTGATGAAGTGCACATTGCACTTGGCCGATGTTTTGCGACAGCTCCAAACACTCAACACTCCTTGTCCAAAAAGCGGTCCTTCAAGCATTGTCTTTCTTTTGTCTAGATGTGGCTTTTTCGTAGTAATGTGCGCCCGAATTCCTCCCTACTTCGCAGCATAGCGGCTCTGCCTTGCCGTCGATCGGCATCGAGCCTCCCGAAAGACCTTCTCAAAACGCCCAACCCGACAGCCAAGTCGCTTGCGGACACCGGCGTGTGGTCCTACATTTCGAGACGACGAACGCGAGAACAGATAGAAGCGGACGAGAAGAAGGCGAAGACTCGCAAAAAGTCCACAAAGCCAAAGCCGAAGGGCGACCGGGCGCGGGTGAACATCATCAATGACAAGTTCTGCGGTACGGCTTGCATCCCAGGCATTTGGCCGAGGCCACCAGTGTCGCTGACGAGGAATTCCATACAGATGATGTTATCGACTACATTGCACCGTCACTGAAACGTCATGTTGGTTGCGACCTGCTCGATATCAATCCCGGTGCAGGAGTCTGGTCAAAGAAGCTGAACGACTTCCTCAAGCCTCGCTCCCACATCCTCATGGAACCCGATGCCGAGCTCTATAAACCCTTCCTCGACCCTCTTCTCGAGAGACCCGGCGCGAAACTCGTTCCCGAATCGGGAATTCTCTGGACCGAGCTCACCAAAGCTCTTGGGTACCTCGAACACCAGGTCGAACAGCCCCGAAGCTCTGGTACCGAACCCTCACGGAATGATACCCTTCTTGTGACTGCCAACCTGTCATTTTACCCTAAACGCCGTTTCCGCAACTTCGACTCGGTCGCTGTACTGGTGCTGTATCAGCTCCTCACAAGCATCCAACTCGGCTCCCTCTTCCAGAAATATGGCCTCGTGCGCATGCTCCTCTGGATCAACGACGACGACAAGCGCACATTCTTGCCGCGTAGCATCCAGAACCGAAGAAAAACTGCCCTTCAGGCCGAGTTCTCGTGCGAGCACCTCGCTGAGGTAGCGGGCAAGGACCCAGCTTCACTCAAAGTTACCCCCGAGCAGCTGAAGAAGATGTACGCCCGCGACCAGTGGATCAACATTGAGAGCTCGCGTAACACCCTCGCCCGGATGAAGGCAGCAGGCATCAAGGAGCCGCCCTCTCACCGCAGAATGGCCCTGACCGACGAGGTCATGAAGAACCACACAGGCACCGAGCCCCTGGCCGGCAAACAGTCGACGCACGTCGTACGCCCCTATCTCGCAGAGCTAGATGAACTCAACCGCCTCGCAGCCGAAGACAAGCTTGGCGCCCCCAAATCCAAAAGCAACGCCCGGCGCGCGATCCTCGCCAATCAGCTCATCCGCAATGAGCGCGAGGTCGCTGTCTTCGACGAGCTGATCCACGAGCAGCAGGAGCTCACCCGTCTCCACAGCTCGGGCGAGCTGACGGCCGACGAGTTCGCCGCGCGCGAGAAGGCGTACAGCGAACGCGTCGCCGCCCTGCCCAAGAACTCAAAGGCCGACTACCACTTGCTGCGGGATAACTACCTCTTGTTCCGCCAGGATCCGCCGGCGCTGCTGTATGACCGCAGGCCGTGGGAGCCGCTGCGCGTCGAGCCGGGCGACTTCTTCCCCAACGTTGAGACGGCGCTGCTCGACATCCAGCCCAAGGCCATGCACCCTCTCCTGCGCACCGTGGGCTCCGAATCCACCGTTACGGGTGACATTTTTGACCTGATCCAGCGGTCGATGCTGTCATCGTCGCTCGATCCAGTGGAGGACACGCTCGACAAGCTGTGGCCTGGGGCGCGGGAGGGCATTCTGGAGAACTGCCCGAGCCTGCGCGACCCGGCAAAGGGCGGCCTGCCTGGTACAGGGCCGTCTGGCGTGTGCTCGCGGTTGTTGAACGAGCACCAGTGGATGGAAATATTGGACGCTTTCATGAAGTGGCCCTTCAGGCCATCGCACGCCGAGCTGATTGGGAGACTAGGCGATGACCTGGCCGTGTCTGACCCCTTGGAGGATTAGAAGACCTGGAAGTCTTACATGTACCATAGATTATGTTGTACGATGGAGGAAGTAGACATGTAACAATACATCCCATATGAGTGGAGAACTGCATTGCGGGTGCCACTTCGGCATCAATGCGAGAAGCTGTATCACGATTCCGGGCTCAATGTAGGTAGGAGTTGGCTTGTCATGACCAGTATGCCCCTGTTGAGACGCTCGACGAGGGGAGCGCTGGGGCATGAGCCGCTGTCTGAACAACCCTCACATCAACAAGCGTGAATGGTTTAGTGGTAAAATTCTCCGTTGCCATCGGGGAGCCCTGGGTTCGATTCCCAGTTCACGCAAAGCATTTTATTTTGCTCTTTTGGCATCTCACACGGAGATTTTTTGGATGTGAAATTCCCTTGTTGATCTTCCTGAGGTAATTTCGCGGATGACTGGAACAGCTTTTGCAGCCGCGGTCTTTTCCTGAGCCAGACACTGTATCGTGGCCACTAGCTTCAATGGCCGGCCCAGACATTGTCAGTCACTTCGTCCAACAACAGCCAAAGTTGAACTTATTTGGCTGTGCACCTATCAATAGGCAGCAATTTCACAATAAAATGAACTTTGTGTGCTGGGAGATATTGTCGTTGTATTATGTTGAGACTTCGCAGATGCATAGGCAACCACGCTCAGCTTCATGCCGTATCCATTTATGGGCACCCTGAACCGAAGCCTCCATCCCGCATGGTTCAGCATCACACTTTGAGGACTTGTAGTAGAAAAATGCTGTACTCCCTTACCTCATTAGAACCTCAACCTCGAAACAGCGTCGGTCTTTCGCGCGCTATGTCCTTACTACAATACTCCTTTCCGTCTTCTCCCTCCTCCGAGCTGCCTTGTCAGATCCTGACCATGCACTTGAGCTTTACATGCTCAAACCTTAAGGCTTCATCCTCCATACGGTTATAGCCTTGGACGCGGACCTTAGGCACATGCGAGGTCGTCAACGGAGTGAAAGTTGCAAAAATAACTCGATTTGGGTTCCCACCTTGTCGTACACTCTTACTTCCGTTTAGTTTCGCGAATACATGTGGTCTGCCTGGGAGAGGTCTCGTATGTTTGTTGCACGTGCTGCTCCTGCGCTGTATGATTGCTTCCATTTCAGAAACCAGGAAGGCGCAGAAGTTATGTTCAGCGTTGGCTACTTTGCCAGCGATGTCTGCCGCAGACGCCGCCAAAGCGTCTGCTGCAAGATGTGGAATCAAAATATGCCTACAACGCACGACGTATAGAAAATATGTATGTTTCAAGCAACATGAAGCAACACTGCGCTCTGTCGACGAAAGTGGACAGTAGTGACTTCTATACCTGGTCCAGTTCTCGCAACTATCAAGCTGCCGAGGACATGAGACAGCACTTGCTTTTTTGGTATTTGTTGAAAATACCTAGAGACGAATGTGAGCAGGCCAGTCGCCGCGAAGAGACTTGACTGACGCACGATACTCAGCCGGAGTTGGTGGTGGGAGAGGAGGAGAGGATGTGGAAGAGGGACGCGGCGGGTTCAAAATCGAAACCTTGAGGCACATGTCGAGATGTGAATCTGGCGACTCGGGGTGACGGCAGTCCGTGCTGAGAGTGGACTGATGGCGATGGCAGGACGCCATGCTCCGAGCAAAATAGTACAGCCAGCGATTTGACTTCCGTAAAAGTGTTCAATAAACATTGGGAGCCGTATCTCAATGGTCCCCTCCATCATCATGGAAGGTAAGGTACCAACGAAGAAAACGCGGCAATGATACCATGCTAGAATGCTGACATAATTAGCCCTCAGATCGCTCAACAGTACCACCCTGTCGAGATAGGCCGGATTACCACAAACGAGAACCAAAAAAAAATAGAGGACACGAACGTCAAAAGGATTGTTCGACGCTGAACGATGTTCTGCTGTGCGTGAACTGGGAATCGAACCCAGGGCTCCCCGATGGCAACGGAGAATTTTACCACTAAACCATTCACGCTTGTTGGTGATCGAGAGCCTCGGCCGACGGAATCATGCCGAAGGAAGGCAAACGTCTCGACAGTGTCGACGGTCAAGACTACTCGACCCCTCGACAGAAGTGGGACGCGGAGATGAAACGGTGGAGCAGTGGCCTGGCGTGCGAGGGTCGCGTGTTAAGTGAGGTTCCCACCACGGTTGTCTAGCCTGTGTGCCTCTGTAACACTAGACTGCAGCTTTCCGGTGACGTTTGGTGGGACCTGTGCTAGGTGATTGTGATTGTGATGGGCGAGGCTTGTCCATGATGGCAGGACAGCCATGTCTCTTCTCTGCCTGCCAGTGGATGGAGAAGGCCAAAAGACGCGATGATGCTGTCTCGTCTCGTCTTGCGATCGCCGAGAGGCAGACCCCTGAGTCGGTACTTGGGCAGTGGCTAGGCGTCTGGTCTAATGAAGAAACCGCGGCCAGTCGCAGCGCAGGTGGATGTTTCATTGTCCAGTCCGTGAGAAGAACCACCAGGAGAGGAGAACCAGGGTGACGATGCGTCACGTTAAATCTCCCGGGCGGGCCGTTTGACGCCACCTGCCCTTGAAAATCGAGCCCAGATGGGCCAAGTCGAAGCACTGCCACTTGGAACAATCACTCAACAGGCTTGCCAGGGGCCACACCAGACCCCAGGGGCCACACAAGACCCCAGGGACCAAAATCATGTAAGGTACAGTACGCCATCCAAGATCGTCGTGAGATAAGGCCACCACCAATCCAATTCCAAACAGATTGCGACACCATCTGCCTCCTTTTTTTTTCTTTCTTTCTATCTTCGCACTGCATCTTTTCAGGTCTGCATCACTCACCTTTTTCCCATCCTCAGTCTTGACCTGACTGAGCTGGGCGGTCCTGATCATCGGCCTGCATTTCTTCAGCCAAAGCTCGTCGAATAGGTGCCTGCTCTTTGTCTCTACCTACCACGATTTATTAGCTAGCCCGTCCCCTAGAGCCAGCTCTTGGGTCTCCCCACTGGGCCGCTACTTGACGCACACCCCCCGATCTAGACCAGCCCCAGGCCAACTAGAAGCTAAAGCTTCATCTGGCGTGCCAGCCTACCCCTGACAAACCTCCCCCCACGACTTTCGCGGCTTCGATCGACCCCCGAGTACCGATTCGAACTTGGCCGACATGAGAGACGGCCAATATTGATTGATATTGCAGCAAACACTTTTTTTCCCTTCTCAATTGGGCCACCACAAGTGCCACGACCCCTTGGCCCCCTGACTGCTGTTGACCTGGCACTTGGGCAAACACTGCCACCACGTGGTCGATCATTTAGCCGCCGCCGCATCCTGCCACACCTGAAGAAACCTGGCCCCCCCGATTCAATCGACGCATCACCAACAGGGACCAAACGAACACATTGCGACCAGCCCTCCTTTTACTTGCGCTGCGTGTGTCCCCCGCCCCTCTCCTCCTCGATCGCTCCACGACATCAGCATTCTCCTCCACCGTCACCTTGAACCTACAATTCTCCGGCCTCGCACAGTCGGCCGCCAGATGTCTTGAGCAGTGTCTCCCACGAATTTCCTTCCAGTTGATCTGGACCTGGCCTGGACGTGAACCCGCAACACGGCATCGCAGCCGTCCTGCCACCATGGTCAAACTGGCGACCACCTTCGCGCCACGTCGACCCACGAGCGCCCTTCGATACGCCGTTGCCGCCGTCTTCCTAATATCCCTATTCTGCTACCTCGGCCCAGGCGGACACCAAATACCTTCCTTCAGCTATAAGCTTCCGAAAACACATGACGGCGTCAACGACGATGCGTCCCCCAAAAAGGCCGCGCCGCCGTTGCCGCGGCAGAGCGGCCATCCCATAGACGACCTCATCAAGAAGGCCGAGGCCACGTTCGACGACATGATGGCCCGAGAAGCCAGGACAGTCGAAGACGCCGCGAAAGCGTACCGCGAGCGTCGCGGCCGCCACCCACCACCGGGGTTCGAGACGTGGTTCAATTTCGCCAAGAAGAAGAGGTCCATTGTCGTGGAAGACTTTTTCGACCAGATCCACCACGATCTCGAGCCGTTTTGGGGCATCGAGCCGTATCGCATCCGCAAGGAAGCCGCCTCGTACGAAATGTTCATCACGGTGCGCGACGGCTTTGCCAACACGACGAGCGACTGGTTCTGGACCCAGATCTGGCTCGACCTGTTCCGGACCATCGAAGACATGCTGCCCGACATGGACATTGCACTGAACCCCATGGACGAGCCGCGCATGGTCGTGCCGTGGGAGGACATGGCGCAGTACATGGAGAAGGCCGCAGAAACAAAGTTCATGGCTGATCCCGAGGACGTCATCAGCCAGTTCCAGCCCTTGCCCACTAAGAGTTGGGTCGAGCCTTGGACCTGGGCGACGTGGAAGATTTGGGAATCCGAAAGTAGGTCGGACCACGAGGCAGTTGGACGTTGCAGCACAGATTAAACTAACATGCTTTTTTTTCCCCCTTCTCACAGAGTTTTACTGGCGCCTCGCCCGCCGAGGATGCCCGCCCACGAGCCCGGCGCGGACCGCACCGCTGCAGCGATCCTTTGCAGACGCCCCCGAAATATCAATGGCCAACGCGGAGCCCCATCTCCTCGAAGGTTACGTGGCAAACGCTACGCTCGCCAAGGACATATGCCACCAGCCCGACCTGCAGGGCCTCAACGGCATCTTCATCGAGCCCCTCAGCACGTCGACGACGAGAGAAATCTTCCCGCTCTTCGGCGGCTCCAAGCTGGCGGTCAACAACGAGATCATCCTGCCGGCCGCCATGCACTGGCAGGAGGACGAGCGGTTCACGGGCGGCGACGACCACGGCGGGCCCTGGTCGCAGAAGACGAGCGCCGTGGTGTGGCGCGGCGTGGCGACGGGCGGGCGCAACCGCGAGACCAACTGGAAGGGCTTCCAGCGGCACCGGTTCGTCAGCATGAACAACGCGACCAAGTTGGCCGAGGTCGAGCTCGACGGCTGGCCGGCGCTCAACTTTGCGCTGCCGGAAAA